TTTTTTTTTTTTTTTGCTCAAGCCACGTGGCAACTGATAGGTGGGGTGGGTGGGGGAGAGGAGCAGGGAGGAAAGCCTGCTCTGATACCAGTGTGACGGATCCGCCGGGATGGCAGTCCGTCAGGATCAAGATGAAGGGATGAGGATGGGGGAGTTGGAGATGGAGCTGGAAGGGACAGCGCAGCTCCAACGCAGACTCAACACGCACGTACTTCAATTTGTGCCAATGAAGAATGCCACAAAACAGACTGCAGCTGGGGTATACCCCCAGCGGACTGACTGGACTGGACTGGACTGGACTGGTACCGACAGTGGTACCGGGCAGGACTGGACTGGACTGAATAACCGCACGGCCTGTGGGGTCAGGCCACGGCCTGGTCCCACAGGCCGGACTAGCAAATAGCCAAATAGGCCCTGGCTGTGGGCCAGGGCAGATGAAGGCCCGCTGCATCCCAGCTATCCGTCACATGCGATACAACCAAATAGTATTCGCATACCCTTACCCAAAACATACTCACACTACAATCTTCACCCGAATACAACGTACCGTCATTATAGCTGTATTTGGGGCAACTTGAGTCTTGATACAGTGATAACGACTGTATGTTGTATTCGGGTGAAGACTGTAGGGGGGTTTCGACTGAGCTCCGAACTTGATTGCAGTCACCTGTGGCCGTATTTACGCTCAGATACATTTTGGAACATGCAAGTGTGAACATGCCCTTATTGTGAAGGGCAACACCGATTCACTTGGTATGTATCGGTCAGGCACAATGTGGGGTCGGGATAACGACACTTTTGAGAATCGGTTAGGCACAATGTGGGGTCAGAATAACAACATGCTTGACCGAGGGGCATATTCACATTAGGAGTTTTCAGGATGTACGTACGACGGGGTCACGACCAGATTCAGTCCAGAAAGTCCGGACGGTTGTGTGAATATGGCCTGCTACTGAGGGCATTCTCACACTACCACATATTTTCGCAAAATCGCAAATTTTATGTAGTTTTCCAGGTCACAAGAGGCACGTATTTTGCGTGTTCACACAAAAGGACACATAAATGTCAGTGGCCTGGACAGCCGCGGGCTTAAATATTTTGCGGGGACCTCCAAAGGTCCCTGCAAAATCGTATTTCTTTGTCCTCTACTGCTTTCTGGAAGCGAAAAAAAAAAAAGAAAAAAAAAAGCATTGCGCTGTCTGATTGCAGACAACGTATTTTCGCATCTCAAGGCCAGGTCGCGACCTTGTCTTTTCTGCTTTGGGTAACAAACGGGGTGACCAGTGTGACCCGCAGGTGTGCCATATAAACGCAAATTCACATACATAAAATTTGTGAGTACGTGCTAGCGTGGGTATGCCCTGAGTCAGGGTTGCCGACAAAGATCTTCAAGGGGATCATTACGTTTTTCGAACTGAATCTAATCCGCAGTACCGATCAGATACGTATGGAAAAGTCCTACATCAATCAAGCACTTTTTTTCTTTTTTTTTGGGGGGGGGGGCGGCGGAAATTGGGGTCGCGCCCCTCAAAGTTGGATTTCTTTCTATCAAGCCTCTCTAAAGGCCAACTTACCGTGTCGTGCCCCTGGGGCCTCTGACCTTTTACAAAGGCCCCTGTAACAGGGTGTTCAACTTTCTGCGATGCCCTTCCTGGACTGCCGATCCCATTGCATGGGCCACGAAATGCCCTCATAAGGCGCATGCCTCTTTTGACGAGCCACGGTTTCCAACCAAGGAAGAAATCACATCTAAGATGTGGACCCCACTGGCCAGCGGCCTTGAAAAGTTCGGGCCCCGGGGTGTTTTCCAGACCCCACTGGGTCTGGAAACCGGTGTGGAAAGCCGGCCTGAAAAGGAATTCCAGACCCCACTGCGCTTGGAAACAGGTTGCGGAAATGGTGATGGGGCGTTTCTACATGGTCCACGGTCTGGAAATTTGACGCCGACCAGTTTCCAGACCCTTTCCAAGGAAGCGGCCAGTTGAGCAGAGGGGGGGGGCATGTCCATCAGTTTCCAGACGCGGGCTTCACGGCGTGGACCATGCACCCTCGCCGTGGACCGTTCTGTGTACCCGGAGGCCGTGGCGGACATTCGTGTTTTCCCGTGGTGTTGCACGGTATTCCCAAGGGCCCGCCGGTCTGTGGAGTCCATGGTCCCCCGAATTCACGAATGTCACGGTGCACCGTTTGAAATTCGATGGATCCATGGCGATTCCGTTACCATGACGGCGACGTCGTCAACCCCTGTACACCGCCTGTTCTGGCCCTGTTGACCACACAACCTTCACGAACCCGTGCAACTCACCAAACCGTCCTCCTTCGTCCCCGGCGATGGCTCCCCGTCAGTGCTCCTGTGCTCAGTGCACTCCGGCTACCAATAGTTCGGACGGCACCTCCCACCAATGACAGGGGGGGACATCCACCCACGCCCCCAACGGTAATTTCCCGTTGCCTGAGCAGACCCGGTCGGGCCACACAGCAACGCACGCCACTTGTGCGGAACCCGCCACACCGGGTCGTGCACAGCCACACACGGACTTGTCCTGGAGCAGTGCAATACCAGGCCATGGTCCACAGCACCCGCCCGACTTGCCTTTTCGGGAAATACCCTTCGACAGTTTCCTATTCGGGTATGCCATGCCTTTTCCAGTGCCCAAACTATGGGTCTGCCGTGGGGTCCCTTCAAAATGCGTCAAGTTCTTTCCAACCACGGTCGGCCGTTTTTTGTGGCCAACACCAGTTTCCAGCCGCTGGCCAGTGGGGTCCACCCCTAATTCTCCAAAGAAGAAATCAAACCTGTCAAACCAACAGTCCGACCCCAGTTGCATTCGAGTTGCATGCTCCGAGAATCACGACGAACCTGAATCTGGCCGTTAAAGTCCACCGGGTTCATTCATAATGCAAAACCACGCAAATCCACCACTGAATCTGGCCGTTAAACTCGACCGTGTTCATTCATAATGCAAAACCACGCAAATCCACCAACGGTGCTCGGCTCTGAAGCCCAAGCAAACAAACAAATCAATGAACAGAAAAAAAAAAAAAAAAAAAAAAAAAAAAAAAA